GATTAAGGAGTTCAGAATTTTTAGAATGAAGAAAATCTAAACCTAGTCATCCTAGGCTAAGTTATTTCTAAGCTAAATTTCAATACTAAGTGAATCCTTACCAATAACAATCATATTTGAATATTTTCCTTTGAATACCTTAAAACCAAACAAATTTTTCTCTTTCAAAACTAAATCAGAGACTATGGGTTTCCAACTAAAGCAGAGAAAAAAGTCGAAAAATCCACTCCTTAAGAAACAACTATTCAATTGGGCAAAATCAAAGACAATTATTTCAGGGCTCAAACAAATGCAAATAAATGGAAAAGTGTTTATTCATGGAAAGCAGCTAAACCTAAGTTAAGAACAGTGAGAATCTGTCCTATCCTGCTCCCATCACCTCCACCCTTGCTCAGTTCCTATGAAAGTTCTTCTAGCACAGAGCTGGCTGTGTAAAACAGCAGTTTCACTGCGGGAGGAGGCCACCATGGAGCAAAGGATTACAAATTTACACAGAACAGTATCAGTAAAAGTGGTAAACTTGGAAGAAACAAGCATGGAAATTCAGCAGCTATGCTAGTCTCAGGTTGCAGTATTAGTTGGGTTGACCTGCAGACTGGAGGATTAGTCAGAATTTAACAGAAAGATCCTGAAAATGAGATAGGTATAAGAAAGATTAGATAAGCTCCCCACATAGCCATAGCCGATGGGGAGGCTATGCGAACATGCAAGAGAGACCCAAGAGGGCTGGAAGAAAGTAAAAAAGTGAGGCAGATTTGAAAACTATCTCCATTTTAAATGCACTCCCCAATGAAGATACACTTTGCCTGAAGAGGGTGGAAGCCTTACTGGATGAGGTATTTGAGCACTACCTCTGACCTATCACTGTTTGACCATTGAGATACACAGATATAGGCACAAACTCACTGTTTGACCATTGAGATACACAGATACAGGCACAAACCTATCACTGTTTGACCATTGAGATACACAGATACAGGCACAAACTCTAGGAAACCAGCCTCAACAATAAAAACAAAAACAAAACCCAGAACTGAGCATAGACATCAACACGTACAAACTACAAGGGAGACAGAGTCTAGAGATTAAGTCCAGGCAAACTGCTAAAAAACCACCACTGCCACCTATCCTTAGAGGAATAAAATCCATAAAGAGAGTTTCTACAGCATATTATTTAAAAAGCCCAGTTTTCAACAAAAAATTATGAGACATGCAACGAAAAAAAAAAAGCAGTAAATAGAAATTTACCCCAAGTTATCCCAAATGTTGGATTCAGCAGACAAAAGCTTCAAGGCAGCAATTACACAAATGTTCAAAGAATTGAAAGAAATCGTGTTTAAGAAATCAAAGGAAAATACAATAACAATGACTCCATAAATAAGGGCATCTCAATAATAAAATAGACTTTAAAAAGAACCAGGTAGAAATCTAGAATTGACACTTTCTAGATGTACCTGTTTTTGATAGAAGCATAACTATATAATCTGTCAAGCTGGTCAACATTTAGAAATACTTAAGAATGCCTGTAACATATGAATTACGGGATGTTTAGTAAGTCATTATGCTTTATAAACTTTGTGGTAACCTTTGAATAACGGTAAAGATACTTTATCCTTTCCTACTAAACTAATCAAAGATATGGTAATTCATTTTTAAATGTAATTGCTTATAATTAGATAATATTTTCAACATGGTATAAAATCAACATAACCAAAGCTAATGCTATGTTGGTATCTACAGCTTTGAAATTGTTGAAGAGTTTTATTTTCATGGTTACTTTCTGTGTCTATCAAGAATGTTTCTAAAATACTCAAGTTTAGCCTTTTCAAGTTATCAATGAAATATTACCTAATACCACAAATCCATTCTGGTATAAGGGTACAGAAATAATTTTAACACTACAGACAAACCTCAGAGAGATTATGGGTTCAGTTAAGGACACTGCAGAAAGTATCGCAATAAAACAAGTTACATAAATATTTGGATTTCCCAATGCATGTAAAAGTTATGTTTTCACGATACTGTAGTCTATTAAGTATATAATAGCATTATGTTAAAAAAAGTGCATAACTTAATTTAAAAATATCTTATCATGGTTGGGTGTGGTGGCTCACACCTGCAATCCCAGTACGTTGGGAGGCAGAGGTGGAAGTATTGCTTGAGCCTAGGAGTTCAAGACCAGCCTGAGCAACATAGTGTGACCTTGTCTTAAAAAAAGCCTGAAAACAAATACATAAAAATACTTTATTGCTAAAAAATGCCAGTGTTCATCTGTGCTTTCAATGAGTTGTGATATTTTTGCTGGTAGAGGGTCTTTCCTCAATGTTGATAGCTGATGACTGATCAGGGTGGTAGCTGCTGAAAACTGGGGTGGTTGTGGTAATTTCTTAAAATTAGACAATGAAGTCTGCTGCATTAATTGATTCTACCTATCATGAAAAATTTCTCTGTAGCATTAGCATATGATGCTGTTAGATAGCATTTTAGCTATAGAATGTCTTTCAAAATTTGAATCAATCCTCTCAAACCCTGCCACTGCTTTATCAACTAAGTATAAGTAATATTCTAAATCCTTTGTTGGCATTTCAACCATGTTCATAGCACCTTCACCAGGAGTAGATGCTATCTTAAGAAACTACTTCCTTTGCACATCCATAAGAAGTAACTCCTCATTCGTTCAAGTTTTATCAAGAGTTTGCAGCATACTGGTCACATCTTTAGGATCTACTTCTAATTCTTATTCTCTTGCTATTTCCAACCCAGCAGTACTTCCTCCACTGACGTCTCAAACCCCTCAAAGTTATCCATGAGGCTTAGAATCAACTTCTTCCAAACTCCTGTTGATGTTGACATTTTGATTTCTGCCCATGAATCACAAATATTATTAATGACATCTAGAATGGTAATCCTTTTCTGAAAGGTTTTTAATTGACTTTGCCCAGATCTATCAGAGGAATCACTATCTATGGCAGCTATAGCCTTACAAAATGTATTTCTTAAATAATACAGCTTGAAAAGCTACATAACTCCTTGATTCAGGGGCTGTAGAATGAGTACTGTACAACACTGATCTTGTACATCTCCATGAGAGCTTTTGAGTGACCAGATTCATTGTCATTGAGCAGTAATATTTTGAAAGGAATCTTTTTTTCTGAACAATAGGTCTCAACAGGGGGTTTAAAATATTCAGGAAACTTTGTTGTAAACGGATATGTTATCATTCAAGCTTTGTTGCTCCATTTATAGAGCATAGAGTAGATTCAGCATCATTCTTAAGGGTCCTAGGATTTTCAAAAATGGTAAATGAACATTGGCTTCAACTTAAAGTTGCCAGCTGCATTAGCCCTGACAAGAGAGACAGTTGTCCTTTGAAGTTACACATTGACTTCTCTAAGTAGAAAAGTTCTAGATGGCATCTCCTAATATAAGGCAGTTTCACCTACATTGAAAATCTGTTGTTTAGTGTAGCCACCTTCATGAAAGAGCTTAGCTAGATTTTATGGATAACCAGATGCAGCCTCTATATCAGCGCTTGCTGCTTCACCTTGCACTTTGGTTACAGAGACGGCTTCTTTCCTTAAACATCATGAACTAACCTTTGCTGACTTTAAACTTTCTTCTGCAGCTTTCTCACCTTTCTCGGACTTCACAGAATTGAAGAGAGTTATGGTTTTGCTCTAGATTAGGTTTTGGCTTAAGGAAAGATTATGGTTGGTTTGATCTTCTTTGTAGACCACTCAAATTTTCTCCATATCAGCAATAAAGCTATTTCGCTTTCTCATCATTTGTGTGTTCACTGGAGTAGTACTTTTAATTTTATTCTATAATTTTTCCTTTTCACCCACAACTTGGCTAACTCTTTGACACATGAGGTCTAGTTTTCAGGCTATCTTGGCTTTTAATGTGCCTTTCTTCATTAAGCTTATTTAAACATTCCTAGTTTTTAATTTAAAGTTACAGATATGTGACTCTTCTTTTTACTTGAACAAGAGGTCACAGTAGGGTTACTAACTGGGCTAATTTCAACACTTTATCTCATAGAATAGAAAGGTCCAAGGAGACAGAGAAGAATTGGAAAATAGAAGGTTGGTGGAGCAGTTAGAACAAAAACATTTATCAAACAAGTTCACTGTCTTATTTGAATAAATGTTCATGACATACCACCCCCGTTCAACAATTATAATAGTAACATCAAAGATCACTGATCACAGACCACCATAACAGATAAAAAAGTTTCACATATTGTGAGAATTACCAAAATGAGACACAGAAACAAAGTGAGCACATGTTGTTGGAAAAATGGTATCCATACACTTGCTCAACTCAGGGTTATCACAAATCTCCAATTTGTAAAAAATGCAATTCCTGCAAAATACAATAAGGTGAAGTACAATAAAATGAGGTATGCCTATACGAAAAATTAGGAATATAATATCCATGTACTTATAAAATCTGTGCCTACATGCATATAAGCTATTATTAGAAGGCAGATTTTCATATCAACAGTAAAATAATGATACTCAGCTCTATTAATAACCTTGCTTTTTTGTAATTTCTTAGTGGTGAATAGCCTATTTGTAATTTCTTAGTGGTGAATAGCCTTTTGAACAGTTTAATTGAATTGCTGTTTTGTACTGATAATTATTACATAACAATAATATATTTGTCATACAACTATATAGTTATTATGCTACATATGTAAAACATAATATATACCTGTTATATAACATAATATTAATCACAAAATAATTATCATATTAGTTAATAAACTATTCTTTCTCATTTTTAGTGAGGATAAGACATGTTACAAAACTTCTATTTTTCCAGGTAATTCTTACAATTTTATGCTAGTTTTCTACCTAATAATAAAAATTTGCATTTCCCAACGTATCACATTACCAGAGGAGCAAGTCAGCTGTTTACTACTTGGTGTACACCAAAACATTATTTTACATTAACACAGCCATGCAGGATAATCAAAGTAGAAAAGGTATACTTACTCAGTTATGAATTCAGGGTTTGTAAAGCTGAGATTGGTTAAATGACCTTCAAGTTTAGAAGACTCATGCATACTTAAGGCTGGAGTGGTCTTAGTGGCAAGTACAGCCCTCTTTTCATCTTTCTCCAGTGCTTTTCTCTTCCCACCATTTTGGAAATATTCTCTGCATACACTACAAGTCAAAATAAAGTTATTTTTATTATTTTGTTAACATATTGTGTATGAATATAAAATAAAATGAAAAAACACTGGCTTTTATTAATCATGATGAGAAGTTTTCAAGTTAAAGATTCCTATTTTGAAAATGCCAAACAGGTAAGTTTGAGCACCTTGTAGCACTTTCAATTTTTAAAAATTATTATACAATAAAGAATGATCATACATTATGTTTAGTAAATTTAAAAAGACATGTTTTTCAGGAGTACAGATGTGCTTGTATATATTTTATCAAACTACATTTTTAACTAAAAATATAAGTTCTTTCAGCAAAGTGACAGAGTTTAAAAAGACTAATAGTCACAGTTAATTCTGACCCATGTTTACTGGTAGTAGATAGAAAACTCAACAGTTGGTTTTGAGGTCCCTTTTGGTTTATGACAACAAAGTCAGGTTGTGAGCATATTAACAGATCGATTTCTTTTTATTTGCTCCGAGAGAAGGACATAAAAACTGAGTTCAGATAAAAATGGTATCACACCATACAGGTATTAAGTCCAAAGAGAACAAAAGTTTGAACAAAACAGTGGTTTTTATAACATTAGAGATTATTCCTGTCCTTTAGGAGACCATTCCTATTTGTCCCAATTCTTATACAGTTAAGACACAGATTTTTCAAGATATATAATTTTAAGCCCATATAATTAAGCCTATATTAGGTTGCTATCCAGAATCAGAAATTGATGACTAGCATATACTTATAAATAATTTTCTTAGTATTTATGATATACCTAATATAATTATAGGATGAATATAGTAGGGAGCATACCTAAGTGTGTAACAAAACAACAAAAATGCACCACAGAATCAACCCAAACATTTATTAGCTATTAAAGTCAATAAACTTACAGAAAAAAGACTAGTGAGACTACCTCTGGCCCTTGCACTTACAATTTGACAGAAGATACATACTTGAAAACAATTAACTGATAAACTTCTCAAAGCTACTTCAACTGAAGGAGGACAGAATCTAAACAAATTTTTTTTCTTTTTGAATTTTTAAAATAGACCACATCATTTATTACATATAGCTTACACATTAAACAAAGCTAGACTTTTATTCTACAGGCACTGCTTGATGAAGTTCAAAAAACACTTGACAAGAGAAGTAAAAATAGGAGAAAGAATTCGTGTAAAATTGGTTTCAGCAAGTAGAACTATGATCAGAGGGTACAATGGCCATTTCTCTCTCACACTTGCAGGATGCTATTAGCCCACTTTACTTTTTCTTAGATTCTACTATATAAGACTTGTTTTACTTATTCTATAAAGATTTCATTCTAACTTTAATTATAGGTAGAGGCATATAGTAATGCTACCCTTAAGAACTCAAGGGTAGCATTAAGAACTCAAAATAGAAAAAGATTAGTAAAAAGCACAATTGATAAACAAAGATATTTATTTATATAAATGAGCAATATAAACTGCTTTTATCATTTATTTATTGAAACAGGGTCTTACTCTGTTGCGCAGGCTGGAGTAAAGTGGTGGGATCCCAGTTCACCACAGCCTCGACCTCCTGGGCTCCATCAATACTTCTGCCTCAGCCTTCCGTGTAGCTGGAACTAAAGGTGCACACCACCACAACCAACTAATTTTTGTGGGTTTTTTTGTAAAGAGGAGGTCTCACTATGTTGTCTAGGCTGGTCTGGAACTCCTAGACTCAAGCAATTTTTCTGCCTTGACCTCCCTAACTGCTGGGATTACAGGTGTGAACCACTGTGTCTGGCCTAAACTGATTTTAGAAATGTAAGTAGGAATAAATGAGGCAAGGAGTAAAGTTAAGGAGGGGAGGACTTTCTAGGTAAAAAGAATAGTATGAGCAAAGACATGAAAAAGAAAAGCAGACGGGATCCTTCAGAGATGTACCTCAATTCAGGGTGCATGAAGTTTAAAGTACTAGGCAGAAGGTGAATGCATGGATTCACAAGTCAAAAGGCCCAGATGATAGTGCATATAAAGAGAGGAATGAGAGCCACGTGACACTGGAGAGGTAAACAAGCTTCAAATCAAGCAAGATCTACATGTCAATTAATAACGTAGCCTTTACAAACCTAATCTAATGACAGAAAGCAATTTAGAGGTTGCCTGGGGTGGAGTAGGGGGGATGAATGCAAAAGGGCACAAGATAGCTTTCTGAAGTAAGAAACATGTTCTATATCTTGATTGTAGTAGTAGGTTATATAAGTGTAAACAACTGTAAACACCCACTAAACTGCATACTAGGTGGGTTATTTTGTTGTACATAAACTACACCTCATGAAATTGATAAAAATGTAGACTATCAACTTGAAATTAATATTAAGATAATGCTTCTGTCATACAGCATTTCATTAAAGTGTGAAATATGAGAGTGAAAAGTTTGCTCACCTTTCTATTAGGTAGAACTATATAAAATTGGTGATATTAAAAGTTCTTGAGCTACAAAAATTGCAATTTTATGTGGTTCAACCCAATAGTTACTAAGAAACTTGGCAGTAAAATACTTAAAGGGTTAGAATTCTAGGTTCTTATAGGATAATAATAGCTATCTAAATTCCAATCTTCCTACATACACTCCAAAAAAAAAAAAATACAGGTCATTAAAATGAGCACTGTTCATGCCTCTGGTATAAGTAGAAGATAGAGACTAATACTTCATTTTGCATGTAATCGAGGAAATAAAAATCTGAGACTGAGTTGGCTTTGGGGCCCACCCAAGTAGGGAGTCAGATAAGGACTGTGTAAAAGAAAGAAAGGTATGAAAAGATGGCCAAATAGAACTGCTGAGCAATCATCCCCCACCCTGCAAGAACACCAAATTGAATGATTATCCATGCAAGAAAGCACCTTCATAAGAACCAAAAAAATTAGGTAAGAGGTTACAGTACTGGTTTTAACATAACAGGCAAAGATGCCTTAAAGAGGGTAGGAAAAACAGTCTTGTATTGCCTCTATCACCCCTCCCTCAACCTCAGGCAGCATAGCCTACACAGAGAATCTGTGTGTTTGGGAGAAGAAGAGCAAAATAAGTGTGGAACTGGAACTCCACGTTGCCACACAGCACCGAGCAGAATTCCACTGGTGCCCATGAAGGAGTATTTGGACCAGCCCTGAACCAGAGGGTAATCTGCTGCCCTAGTAGGAGGAATCAGTCCTAGCTTGCTCCACCACTGGCTGACTAAAGTGACTCTAGGCCCCATACAAATTTCAGTGGTAGCCAGGCTGTAGTGACTGCACTCCTTGGGTGAGCCCCAATGCTGCAGTGGTCTTAGAGGCTGTAGGCTCAGGGTACAACCCAATGTGACACAAACTGTATAGTGCCTGTACTATACCCCTTCTCCAACTCCTGACAGTACAGCACAGAGGGACTCTTTCTGTTTGAGGTAGGGAGAAGGAAGAGTATAGGGGATTTTGCCTTGTAACAGCTGCCAACTCAGGCATGCTAAAACAAAGCAACAGGCAGAATCTTGAAGCCCCTGGTTCTAAGCTGTTACTCACAGATGGTGCTTCTAGCCCCACCACAGGGTAAAAGGGAATTCACTGCCTTGGAGGGAGTGGCCCAAGTTCCTGCAGGTTTTATTACCTGATGACTAAAGTGGTCTCGGACCTTGAATAAACATCAGTGGCAGTCAGGAAGTACTGACTGTGGGCTTTGGGCAGTCCCTGTATATTGCTGGTCTGGGAGGTCGTGTGCTTTGGGTGCAACCAAGCATAGTGTCACCTCTGGTGGCTACAGGAGTGCCTATGTCATCCCTCTCCCAACTCCAGGTAGCCCAGTTTGGAAAGCGACTCCTTCCACTAGGGGCAAACAGAGGGACTTTGCCTGAAAGCCTAGGGAATTCTCCCTTATCTTTCTCAAGTCCTTCAGAACTTTGCTTACCATGTGTTTAATGTGTGTGTGAGCTATATGTAGGTCTCTAGGAATCTGCAAAAATGGCAGTATACCTGGGCTAAGAGTGCCTTCTAGTGCTGGTATGGCTATGGTGACCACAGGCTTGGGTAACTCAACAATGTTTTCTCTGAATTCTTGGAAGGCACTCTGTACAAGAACAAGTACTAACAAGGCTGACTACAAGGAATGGAATAAATAACAAACTCTTCTATGCCTAGACAACTAGTAACATTCACAACCATCAAGGACATTCAGGACAATATGACCTCACCAATGTGCTAAATAAGGCACCAGTGGATTATAATGGATTGATGAAGACAAACTCTCAGACAGGAAATGCAAAATAGCTGTTTTGAAAACTCAACAGACATCAAGAAAACACAGAGGAGTTTATAAATCTACCAGAAAAATTTAACAAAGAAATTGAAACTAAAAGAAAAAATCCAATAAAAATCCTGAAGCTGAAAAGCTTAACACTCCACTGATAGCAACAGAGATCATCAGGGCAAAAGTCAACAAAGAAACATTGGAATTAAAATATACAATCTTCAATCTTCCAGTCTGATTAATGGAGGGCTTAAGCACTATAAATTTTCCTTTGAGCACAGCTTTAGTTGTGTCCAAGATGTTTTGATAACTTGTTTCATTGCTGTCATTCATTCTGAGGAATTTTTAAATTTCCACTTTGATTTCATTCAAGAGCAGTACAACCTAGAGCAAAAGGAAGTAACAGATATTTACAGAACATTCCACCCAAAACTACAGAATACACATTTTTTTTCTTTAACACATGGAACATTCTCCAAGACAGATCACACGACAGGCTATGAAACAAGTCTCAATAAATTCAAAAAATCAAAATCATATCAAGCAACTTCTCAGACAACAGTGGTATGCAACTAGAAATTAACTCCAAGGAGAACTTGTAATACCAAATGAAAACATAAAAGTTAAACAATCTGCTCCTGAATGATCCTTAGGTCATTCAGGAACAGATTGTTTAACTTAACAAACCCAAAGCTGGCAGAAAAAAGAAAAAATAAGCAGTGCAGAACTAAATGAAATGGAAATTTTAAAAAAAG